GATTCTTTCCGGCCATCTAATCTTCAGTATAGAGCGAAGACAGTTGTTGATAAAGGTCTTCAACAGGCTGTTGGAAATATTCTTTGTGACACACTAGCCAAGTTTCTGATCCGTATAGAAGAACTGACTGACTTGACGTTTGTATTGAAAATTCGAATTTTGTTGTTGATGCTGAGTTGAGTGACGAAGATTTCCAGGTTGGTTTCAGGTTGATGAATGTGTTTCTCGCCTTCCCGATTCTCGTCTCGATTTGACATCCTCGTCCGTTCCTCCTGTAGTTGAGACAATGCTCCCTGTATAAGTGAATGAAGTAACCTCTTTCAAATCCTTTTCTTTGATGGTGATTGGCGCTGGATGTCGCTGCTGTTGTTGGTTGGTTATTTTCATAACCTGCGTCTTGTCTATGTTCACCTGGATTCCTGTCTTTGCTGCTTCTTCGACCAGTTTGTCGGTTTTCGCTTGTAATTCTTTGATTTTGTGTGACATCAAACAGAAATCATCCACGCGCGAAATCCAGGTCTTTTTGGGTTCTTCACGTTGGTCCAGGATATCCGTGTCTTCGCGTTTCCCACTGTCTGACGCATAATCCAGTCCACCTACCTTGATAATACCTATCTGATTATATCACTGAGATCAAAATAAATTATTATCCGTCTTACTCATCGTCAGTTTCGTTTTAATGCTTAGAAGTCTTTAACAGTCTTTAACTCGCTGATGAAACTCATCAGATATCGAATCTAGAATGATGGTAATAATAGCTCTATTTGGGACAGTGTTTATGTGTTGTACAGGATTTTCAGCGGATTTTATTGCTTGATATTTTCTCCTCTTAGAGCAGCTTCCGGTATAATATTAATTGGTTCAAGGATTTCATCATGAGCTGATATCGGTTAGAGAACCATTGGGAAACTTGGGAGTACTGGACAGTTGCTTCGTCCTACTTTGGGACTCTTCAACCGTATACACCCACCACAGGAGGTTCGAACCCAGGACCTTCTGGTTACAAGGCGAGCTCGTAGACCATTAGGGCACTGGGACCCGATCCAATGGCCCGTGAATTCCAACTTCTGCCAATTCATGACATAGCGCGACCATTTCCTAATATCTTCTTCAATGAGTTACTGCCCCACCTTCAACCTGCTGCACCCTACTGGTCACAGCTTCTCACTAGAACTGCAGGTAACTGCCTACCTGAATAGGGCAGTCGCTAGTGAGCATCAAGTTCTAAAGTTTTGATTTTGTAGGGATTTTGTTTGATTGGTTGAAGGATTTCATCATGGGTTGATATTGCTTAGGGAACCCTTGGAAAACCTGTGAGTACTGGACAGCTGTTTCGTCGTAGACTCGATGAACCAGACAGGATTCAGTGATCAATTTCTCTCTCCCTATCTCCGCCTACCTATATTACTTCTTAGAATTTTAGCCCTCTCCCATCATATTGTGTGGTTGTGTGTTAATGCATGCAGTGCTATAGCTGATTTTTTTTTTCTAAATTACGTATCTTCGTCGGATCAATCATTTTAACCATAGTTAAATTCTTATATTCTGATAATCTGCCTACTCCTGATCTACTAGTTTGACCTATGTAGTTGACGTGTAGGCTAAATGACCCGGTTGACCCAATTAAGCAAAATAATATAATTTGCAAAATACCCTGCAATGACTGTGAGGTCAACTACATATGTCAAACTAGTGGATCGGGAGTAATCAGATTATCGGAACATAAGAATTTAGCTAAGATTAGTATGATTGACCCAGAGAAGATAAGTAATTTAGAAAAAAGCTCAGCGATTGCACTGCATACATTAACACACAACCACACAACAGAGTGGGACAGAGTCAAAATTCTAAAAAAGTTATATAGGTAGGGGGAGAGATAGACACATTAATTACTGAATCCTGGCTGGTTCATTAAGTCTACACCCAACACAACACATTCAATAGAAGTGACTCAACGCCAATACCAGAGATATGGAAGATATTATTTCAGCAAGTCAAATCAGAGGAGGATAATAAATAATGTTAAAGTGTATTTCAGTTCACATTATACCATTCTAACAAGTTATTTATTTATTTTACTATATAAGATCATCTTATTTCCCTTCCTATTGTATTTGATTGATAACACTAATATTATTATTTCTGAATGTACATTATCCTATATTGATTTTTATTCAGATGTCTAATCATCAGTTTTACTCATGTATGTATGTGAAGCAAGAAAGTTGTGTGAGTAGTGCCTTGGTATGATTATGAGTGGCAATAAATTGTGCCCGAAACGTGTGGTCATCAGTTAATATTACTGTATAACAAGCACACTGTATGACTTTATCAAAATAAAATCTTATCTATAGTGAAATTAATAGTGACTGAGGGTTTTAGTATCCAAAGATCTTAAGCAGACCTTTGTAGTGATGCAGTTTTCAATAACCGCCAACCAATGTCATTGGCGGGTATTTGTCTCCACATCCGACTTTCTGGAGCGCACTAGTCACAACTTGTTAGTAGAACACTAGGCAAACTTCATTTTGTAGTCATTTACCTAGTGTGCATTTGAATACTTGTTAACTGCTGATTTGCACAGCTAATATTGGTTTCGAAATTTAGCTGTCAGCTAGATTGCTCTAATTTCGATTGTTAGATTTCATCACTAATGAATATCAGTTAGAGAGGTCAATATAAACGAAAGAGCATTAGACAGTTGTTTCGTCCCATTTCGGAACTCTTCATCAGCACTCACCTACGACCAAGTAAGAGATAAAATCCGGAACCTTCGCGTTATGAGACCAGGCTGTCCACTTTGTGTTGACATTCAATGGCCCGTGAATTCTTATTTCTGTCACTTTTTATTCTTTTTATTCCTTCACGTTCCCAGTGGAACATAGGGCACCTTCAAGCTAGAGGCTTGAAGTTTCTGTAGCAGTGGTGATTATTTTTACAGGATGAGGTTGCTAGCCTGATGCTCACTTTTTCCTCTTCACCAACTTTTTTTAATTTCTAGCTTAGCGAGGTAAAGGAGTGCGTCTGTGACCGGGGATCGAACCCTGAACCATGTGCATGGTTGGCGAGCGTCCTAACCGCTATGCTACCGACGCACCAGTGCCTTTGATAAGCATCCCCTTTTACCTTGTTATAGTGGATCCAGATATCTTGATAGGGTTGTGTGGTTACTCACTGATGAAGAGTCCCAAAATAGGACGAAACTTCTGTTCAGTTCTCGACATGAATCGCATGGTCTCACCATATTTTTACTTCAGGCTTTGTCATCACTTATCATTATTATTAACAAAGATAATCTATCAAGTCTACCTTACCTAAACTTACCTTAGTCTTCAGTATAAAATTGATTTTATTTTACTCTTATTTCTTGTGGCATGCTTGTACATGCTTTCGTATTCACACGGATACACACACACACGCGCACAAACAGACACTTATACATTCGCGTCTAGAAAACAGGAAGTGGAAACACAAGATGTACGCAGGTATGTAAGTATGTCTTGTATTCTATTTGCTTCGCTTAAATAATACAACTTACTTTTCACACGTCTCACTTTTAATGTTTTATTACCTCGTCAGTCAGTTAGTAAGTTAGGTAGTTAGTTCGTTCTTATTATTGAATCAATTGCATTGTTTTATACATGATACAAATAAGTATACAATGCTATTGAATTAGTAAATAAGTAGTGTTTGAGATTTTTCAATTCTCCATATGTGTATTCCTCCCCTCCCCCGCCTTCATTGGAGAAAACCATCAACCTTTAGGAATACGAGTAAATCTGACTGAAGAGTCCCAGGTGGGACGAAATGCCACGTCAAGGTTTCATTGCTAACTACTATAAATAGAAATGACCTCATGTGTTGTTAACCTTTTTCAGAGACTATGGAGATGTTTGTATTAGGAGTGAGTCACTGACATGTCAACAAGTGACGGAGCATTTCTGTCCAGTTGCAGATAAAACTGGTAAATACTTTGGCACTCAACGTCGCAAGTGAACCATCAGAAGTAGGAGAGAAGTTTATGTATCTAGTTAGGTCGTATATGAGTACTGGGAAAGGTGAGACTGATGATGTGATCTGTAATCGTACACCAACCTGGACCAACGGTTCGGCTTACAATACCCGAGTGCCTGCAACCTTAGCCTATGCTTGTGAAACCTAACCTCTGAGAGCTGAAGAGATGCTGCATGCCTAATCGTTGTGTTTCTCTGTAGAATTGCTTGCATTTGGTCCGGTGACGTGTGTCTGGATGTAGTGGAGTCTTGAAACACCGGCTCCCCAATGGGCTACGAGTATCCTCCCAGCTGATCCTCATACCGTTCGGTGTTTGCCAGTCGTGAAACTGTGTAGAAAAGCAGAATATTGATCACTCTGTGACACAGCGTTGTGGAATGAAGGGTAGTTAATTGTATTGGGTTTGAGTCCCATTGCAATACTGCCACTCACTGAGTATATATAGGCATATCCAGTCGACGGGTCCCTACCAGGATAAAACGCTTATCGTAAAATTCCACTTTTAACTACCATCAACTGAGTAGCATGATATTCTCCAGTAGCGTGAGTAAAGTCTGGGTTTGATTCGCCGACGACGAACTCTTAAAACCTCGCCTAGTTTCGGTGGCCTGTTAGTAAGGCCCTGGAAAATAGGGAAGGAGTTGAGCGTGAATGAGGCTTACAACTGTACACCTTAACAACACCACCACCCCTATTGAAACCCTAAAGCTCTATGTACCACCTGGAATGCCATGGGTGCAAAAAGAATTGTGAATTACAATTTTCAAATTTCCTCTTGAATATTTTCAGTTTCCAATCTCTTATGTGTAACATTTATTTGCTTGGAGGATTTCACCATGAGGCTGACATCAGTTAGAGAGTACTGGACAGCTGCTGAAGAGTCCCAAACTGGGACGAATCAAACTAAATCCCTACAAAAACCAATACTTAACATTTATTTCACAAATAATAATAATAATCGTAACTTGTCATATTTGTATTTTTAGGATACAGAAGTAGTGGAGTTTTATTATCGGAATCTTCTATTCCATTTATTTCACCTCGATATGTTCCACCAATTCATCCGTTAGATTCTACATCCGTGAATAATAATAATGATAATGGCAAATCAAGTTTATCTTTATCGTGTTCGATGCCTACGACTAGAGATCGATGTTATGAAGCTTTATCATTCTCAACACAAGCTTACAGGACTATTGTACGTGTGACATTGTTTAAAGATTCAAAAACTGAGTAAGTTGATATCGTATTTTGGGAGAGAATTACATATAGAGTCTGTGTATAGTTTTACTTGTCTTTTTTATGGCTTAGATTACATGGCGTCCCCTCCGCGCTGCCCCCACCCCACCCTAATGCTAGATTGCCCCACTACTACCTCTAGTCTTATCGGAGCGGAGAGAAAGAAAACGCGGTATTCTGTCTGAAATGTTTTGTGTTCCGTCTTTTCGGGAGGTATTTCTCTTCTAGTGTCCTGATTTGTGGCATGGAAAGCTGTGGTCTCTTCTGGCGGTTATTCATAGCACCTCTACTTTGTGTGCTGTGAATCTGTCCCAGCTAGTTCCTTTTTTTGGCCGCTCTATTGGCTGCTGTAGTTGTACTCAGTAGCTTTCTTGTTACCCTCGGGAGTTCACCAATATCTATTGATTGTGCTAAAGCGTTGTCTAGTTGTAATTGCTGAGCAGTGTGTTGTGGAACACCTTCGATAAAGTGGGAGAACCAACAACTGCATCTCTCACTCTTGATCAAGTGTGGGAAGCTCTCAATGAAGTAGACCTATCAGCTTCACCACCAATACCAGTTGGTCTCTGCCAGATCCCAGCTTCATGCCATGGAACTGCTGCATTACTTGGTGTCTGTCCGTCAGGATGTTGAACTTCGCTGCCAATAACTTCCATGTCTCATCACCATCTGCCCATTCCTCAATGTCATACGCCGCCTTTGTCTGACCCCTCAGCAGCGTCTCGAACACAACTGTCTTAACCATTAGATCTTGGACGGCTGCAAACTCACTGTGGGAAGGCTGCTCCACTACCTTGTGGATTAGACCTCAGGTCAGAAGCTCGTGGTTGGGGATGGTTCCTTAGGACAGCCACCTGCTTCAGTCTGGAAGCTCGCATAGTATTCGAGCACCCGCACAAATTGTTAGACGAAATTCAGGATAGACTGTAATCGGACGCTTACTGATATAAACTACAATCTCATTTTAGCAGCGTGTTCCTTTTCGACTTTATTTTTTTTACCGGCTTTGATATCTTTACTTTTGTCAGCCTTTTAACTTTGTTTGAATTCTGAGTCTCTCTGTGTCGTTTTGAGTTGTTAGTGAGTAGTCTTCAAAATGCTGATCTCTAGTGCGATATTTAAAAAGAAATATGATGCATCATCTCTTCGTACCCTTCATTGTATATATATCAAGTTTAATATGGAGTGAAATAATTATGAATGTTCAGCTAATGAACTAATGTCAGCTCATGATGAAAATCCTGTAACCAATCAAATCCCTACAAACCAACACTTGAATATCAATGACTAGTGACTTGCCCTATCCAGGTAGGTAGTTGCCTGGGATTCTAGTGAGAAGTCGTGACCAGTAGGGTGCAGCAGGTCGGGCGTGAGGACAAATACTCGCCGAAGACATTGGGTAGCGGTCGCGCTATGTCGTGAATTGGCAGAAGTTAGAATTCATGGACCATTGGATCGGGTCCCAGTGGCTTAATGGTATACAAGCTCGCCTTGTAACCAGAAGGTCCTGGGTTCGAATCCCGGTGGGTGCGTACCGATGAAGAGTCCCAAACCAGGACGAAACAGCTGTCCAGTACTCCCAGGCGGTTTTCCAATTGTTCTCTAACTAATGTCAGCTCATGATGAAAGTCCTGTAAATTATGAATGTGTTGTCCACTTCACTTATTTAAGAAGTTGCATCAGTCCTAATACTTCAGGTGAACATAGAGAAGACAGAGGTGATGAAGATTCCTGGGCAACACCACCAACAGCTACAACAAAAACAACAGACAACAATCAGCATAAATGGAAGGAACCTGAAAGAAACAACCTCTTTTACCTACCTGGGAAGCATCGTTTCAACTACAGGCGGATGTAACTGACGAGGATATCAAAGCAAGACAAGCTTTCACTACTCTCAAGTCTGTGTGGAGGTCAACAGCACTCAGCATGAAAATGAAAATAAGATGCGAACTTTTAACTCCAATGTGAAGTCAGTGCTGCTATACGGATCAGAGACTTGGCCAGCCCGTCATAAAGAGCATCTCAAACAAACTTACACACCTTCGTTACCAGCTAGCTGTCTTCGCTTAATACTCAAGATCAGATGGCCAGAATCAACACAGCAGGAACCGATTGTGAAACAAATAGGCAGGAAGAAATGGAGATGAATTGGCCATACTCTGAGGAAACCATCAAGTGACATCACTAGACAAGCCATTGCTCGAGTGGAACCCGGCCGAAAGGGAAGCGGCGAGTTGGTCGTCAGTGCAAGGGTGACTTGGAGGAGATGATGTGAAGAGGAGATGAAAGCATGTGGGCAGATATGGAGCCAGGTGACGACTCTAGCAGAGAACCGAACGCAATGGAGACGCGCGGCTGAAGCCGTATGTTCCTCTAGGAATTAAAGGAAACAATATTAATAATAACCAGTCCTAATGAAGTAGTAGCACTCGGTGATAAACTGTCAACATGGATACAAATGAAATCCCATAATAGTTTGTTTATTAGATATATCACACAGTGAGAAAACAGTATTATTATTTACTGGATGACGAGGTTTCGAACGAAATTTATTGTTCATAATCATATTGCCAATTATAATCACATGACTTCGAAACTTAAGTTTTATAGTTTTCTTTATTCTCTCCTATTTGTCGTCGTTGGGGTAGTAGAATTTTCCAGATGTCCAACTGGACAGGTGTTGAACCATTCCTGTTACACGTATTTGCAATTGATTCGATAAACAAAGCTTCCTTTATCAATCTCTATCTGCACCTTGCTGCTACATTAGATTTTAAAACTGTCGTCTTATCCCATCCATCCTATTGTATGGTTGTGTGTGATTGCATGTAGTGAGTGCCATAGCTGAAATATTCTGTAGATTTCATATCTTATTCGGGTCAACTAATCTAGGTTTTTATGCTCCACCAGTCTGATTGACTGCACATGATCTACTACTTTGTCCAATGTATTTGACCTGGCAATCAACGCAAGTATAGGGTATTAGATAAACTAAATTATTTTGTTTTAAAGGCTCCACTGGCAGGATCCTTTAGCCGACAAAGCTTGTTTCTGATTGAGTTTGTGGTTGGTTTGAATGGCAGCCACTTTTATTCCTGCCTGCCTTGTTAAGAATTCTCCGGCATAAGGTGGTTTCCGAGGTTCCTTCTTTGTATGGAATTACTACTGATGATTTAGATTCCTTATTGTTGGTGTTGTCATTATCTTGCGCATGTTTGACATGCAAACGGCTACTATGTCATTTGCTAACTTACATCATCTCTAGCGTAGATGTGTGATATCCCGTTATCGATCAAAGGAGGTGTTTACTGAGCATCAATTTGCTCTGTCCTTCTATACGGCTGTGAGACATGACCGACCGCTGAAAGTGGAGGACGTAAAGAAGTTAGCTGTCGCATTGACCAAAGTTGTTTGTGTTCTCTCTTTTAGGTTTAGATTGTATAATATAGTGATTAGTAATGAGGTTGAGTGTAAAATATTACACAGGGGTGGCGATTCAGTTAATGAGATTGTGTAGCTGCATCGATTGAGGTGGCCCAGTCACACATGCCAAGCGATTGCCTTCCTTAGTCACCAAAGTTAACTAACTCCATTATGGATAAGGTTTTATTTTGATAAATCACACAGTAATATTAACTGATGACGTTTCGAGCACAAACTATTGCTCATAATCATATCAACTACCGAGGCATCTTCATATGAAGTGGGATGAATTAATTATATTAGACTGACTGGTTTCAACATAGAACTTTTCACCGATGTGCAGCAGTTCGAGTCGCCACACTCCCTCTATGTAGCACACAAAGCAAGAGAAGAAAGTAAAAGTAAATGCAAAATAGAGACATTAAACATAAATATGAGGCAAAAAGAATAGTAATATCAAAGAACAATATAGCTTTATTGGAAATTATAAGTCACAAGGAGTGGATGTATCTTCATCAGCCATTGAGAACGACGATTTTGAGCTAGCCATATCACAAGTTGTCTCCAGCCTCCATTGGTGTTTACCGTCCAGAGGAACCCAACCAGGAAGCCAGTCTACACCTCCCTACGTGGCTGGCTAGCTGGCTTAAACTAACTGTTGTGGATTTCATTGACTGATGGAGCCATGCTGGTTTTGGTTTGACCGTGACTAGCTAACTCTTTTCCAACCTGATCGATCCTATGTCAGTTAACATTGACTGTCGGTCGAGGAAGTCGATGGCTAGGCTTGCATGTGTAACACATGTCCTAACCATCTCAATCTATGCAGCTTCTTCACAGCCTTGTCTATTGATTTCCCCTTCCTCTTTACGTATCAATCAACCAAAGCCTAACATCAATATTGCTCACCCTATTATTCCACTTCACACGGGAGATAGAACGCAGGCACCTATGGTCAAAGACAGCTAGCCAGCCAGCCTTATCATGCCTTCCACTTTCAATGTCCATGTCTCGCTCACAGGCATAAAGGAGGATGGAGCGGACTGCTGAGCAGTACACACGTCCTTTGATCGATAGCCAGCCGGATATCACGTCTACTAAGCCAGAGAAGACGTATCCGTTTTGAGATTTCGTCAGCGAACACCCTGTTGGCCCTAGCTGATGCAACTTCCCAAATAAGTGAAGTAGCCAACACACTCTATCACTTCACTAGCTGTACAAGAGGACACAAAAATTGTTTCTCTGTATTTTTCGACCACAACGAGTCAATTTTAATCGCTACAACCTTTGTGTGTGTGTGTGTGTGCTTTTATGAAGAGCGACAAGTCCAACTGTCACATTTTTGTACAACCCATTCATTTATTGACTCTGAAAATCCTCTTTTTTTTATTCCTTTACGTTCCTAGTGGAACATAGGGTGCCTTCAAGCTACAGGTTCGAAGTTTCGGTAGTAGTGGTATTTATTTTTACAGGATCCGGTTGCTAACCTCATGCTCAACCTTTCCTCTTCACCAGCTTTTAGTTGTGGCTTAGCGAGGTAAAGGAGTGCGTCTGTGGCCGGGGATCGAACCCCGGACCATGTGCATGGTCGGCGAGCGTCCTAACTGCTATGCCACCGACGCACAATGCTTGTCACCGCCTCGAGGGTGGAGACAAGGTGAATTGGAGTACCTGGGCAACGATCCCAGTACCTCTCGCATGCTAAGCGAGCGCTCTACCATTTGAGCTAGTACCCCGACCCAATCTTATATTTTTACCAGTCTTAATACTCGTCTATCGAAGTAAAAGAGTGCGTTGGCTGCCGGGGATTGAACCCCGGACTACATGAGGCCGTAGATGGCAAACATTTTACCACTGTGCTGCCACTGACGCTGAAATTTCAATCTGTCTGCATGTATTTTTTTAAACATGACACAGTCTCTACTTTTTTTAATTTTTAGAAATGGCACCTTTCAATGTGTCTGTGATTCACGCATCAATTTACCATCTTCATTCAATCATTTGCCTATCAGTAAATTGGAGTCAATTGAAGATTTTGTTAAAACAGAAATATGGCCAATAATTGAAAAAGAATTCAAAATTGAAGAATGAATAGCTTGTAATATATATATATGTATGATTTTTATATATTTAACCCTCCTCCCCCAACCATCAGCACGTTTTCTTGTCAAATAATTCGAGTATAAATTATCATCTCGGTGTTCATTCTTGTTTTTCTTTTCACTTCTGAATGGTATGTAGAGCTTCAAGCTTGACTTGACCTGTGAAGTTTCAATGGGACTGATGTTACGTGTGTATGGGATGGGGTTGGTAGATTCACGTCCAACATTCTGTCTCCTGTCCTGGCTTTACCACTGGATAATAAACGACGTCAGGTTTGAGAATGTGTGGGTTGAGGAACCGAAGTCTAGACCATATGCGTTCCGAGTGGAACATATTGCTTCGACAGCGTATTTCTATTTTTTCCTGTTCTCTGTGATCTTCTTTAACTGGTTCCACAATTGCCCATAAGTTCTCTTCTCCTCCTTACACGAATTCCTCTATGTCATCGTCGAACACCCAACTTGGCATTTCCCATTCGGGTTCCACTTGAGTGATGGTTTGCATTGCTTGCGATGTCATTCTACGGTCTCCTCAGTTTGTGTTCAATCCATCTGCATTTTCTCTTACATATTTGTTGAGTGACCGGTTCTTGTTCGGTTTCTTCCCAAAGTTTCTTGTCGCTGATTCTTTCTGGCCGACCGGCTGGCCATTTGATCTTCAATATGGAGCCAGCGAAGGTGGCAGCTGTTGGAAATGCTTTTCGTGACGCGTTAGCTAACTTTCTGACCTATATAGAACAACTGACTGACTGACTGACTGAATTTTCTGCTTTATGCTACACAGAATGCAGAAGATTTCCAAGCTCATCTCACATTGTTGAAGGTGTACCTTGACTGTCTGATTCTGGTTGGCTTAGACAACTTCGTTCTTCCACCCACTCACAGTAGTTGAAATAATGCTTCCTAGATAAGTAAAGGAATTAACCTCTTACAAACGTCTTCCATTTACAGTGCTTCGTACTTGTTGTTCTTGTTAGTCGGTTATTTTCATCACCTCCGGCGGCCTGTTCGAATTTTTGGGCCTGCTATTATAATATCTACATATTGCATCCATATACTGTTTACTCCTATTTTTTTATCACCTAAATATGAATTCTAACAGGATCGTTTACTTTCGCGACTTTATTAATCATTTACGACCCTGTGACTTTCATATTCCCAAGAAATCAAGGAGGAAGCATCGTAGTGGTTGGCAGAGAGCTCTTAAACGTACACCAATACACCTAACTACGGTCCCTGTCATAATGAACACTAACTGCCGCTCTCTTCCTAACAACATAATGTACCTACAATCTCTGACGTCCACTGACACTTATCATAATACTGCGATAATCACATTACAAGAAACATGGTTACATGAACTGTATGATGACAATCTCATCTCTCTAAAGGACTTCATCCTATTTAGACAAGACCGAAAATGTTGTAATAAGAAAAATAGGGGTGGAGTAGCAACTTTCATTAACTCAAAATGGTCTATTTCTAATAATGTTTGCTTCTCATTCTCAAATGACATCATTGACTGTATTACCGTCAAATGTCGTCCCAAACATCTCCCCAAATATAAACATATCTTTATTACGAACATGTACATATCTCCAAGTTGCTCACTATCTAATCTTTCAAATTTTGCTGACAAATCCATTTTATCTAACTCACACCACCCTCTTCACTCACAACTCTCCCCTTGCATCCCATCGGGCAGAACCAGAAGCCTATACAGAAAACTATATGCTCGCACTAGCAAGTACAGAAACTCAACCATACCCTACTTAGCTCGTGTTCTGTGCGATAAAGAAAGCATTAGGCGTGATACCTATAACTTATTAAATAGTCAGTAGAACAACTGGACCTCGTCTTTCCAACTCATCATTTACAGGTACAACATTTTCTTTCTTTCTTTTCCTTTTCTTTCTCTCTTTTTATTCCGTTATTGGCTGCTTTGTTTCTTTCTCTCTCTTACGCCAGTAAGTAAATATGATAGCACCTACTTTTCTAACACCTTCAAACACTATGTTCAACTTTGGCTTTGCTACCGACATGCCAATATGTTGTTGTCATAATGAACTGAGATTTCCGTAATCTATGTAGAATTCTATTTATTGATAATGTACTAACTGGATGCAATACTGTAGTAAAAATGCTGAGAATCCCATTCTGTATCACAAGTACCGTTTTGGAATGAAGCAAATTACTATTATTATTATTCCTAGAGTCCTGTCTTCACGGCTTCTTCTGTCACTTTGGTAGTTTTTCACCTGTAAGTGTTCGAGTTTGTGTGTCATTAAACATGAGTCATCTGTGAAATCCATATCTTCTTGAGTCTTTTTATGGGTCCAGTGTATTCCTGTCCTCTTGCTCCTCACACACCGTGTCTGACGCATCATCCAATCCACCACAATTTCGAATGTCATCCGCGATAGGATACAGCCTTGTTAGGTTTTATATAGGGATTTAAATTAATCTCAATATAGATTTCGTCATGCAAGATCAAAATAAATTAAAGAATCGTTGAAAACCACAGATCACTGGACACAGCTGTTTTATCTTGCTTCAGGACTTTGCAACATTGCGCACAGATGGTTGGACTTCGGTAAAATAAGGCGGCGAATTGATACATGTAATTAAATTCCAACTCAGTGAAGTGATTCGTCAACGACGTGGCTTCACGACCTCAATGTCCTGAACTCGATATCTGGTGTGGGGTCATGGATGCACATTTCTGAAGTGACCTACACTAAGACGAAACTGCTGTGAAGTAGTCGTTGTATATGAAATCATACATTGAAAACTGCATTATATCATCAATGATATAAAAATAATTTCATGCCAGTGTGTATTCAAAATGCAATGAATTTTACGCAAACAGGGAAATACTCATCTTTGAGAAGAGTGAAAGAAGCAAGAAATCTGCAGCAATTCTACTTCTGTAAAAACTCTTTTGCGTCCCGAATGAAACAGCAGCAAATGTAGATTTCACTCTGTTCTGTACTGTCTTTTCCAGCTGGCTGCATAATTGTCCATAAGATTTCATTCACTCTTCACATGATCATCATTCATGTCATCCTAATAGTCAAGTTCAATTTTTCAATTCGTATTCTTGTTCCACTCACAGCGCTGTTCGGTGTGTGATGTGTTCTATTTCCATTTCCTTCGACATATTTGCTGGATAATTGGTTATTGACTGGTTCACTGTCTCATTTCGTTGTCACTAATTTGTTCCGATCTGATCTACAGTATTGTGCCAGCGAAGGGGACTGGTGTTAATGAAAGTCTGTAGTAGTGTAACGACAGAAGACAAGGTCCAAGCAACAGATCGTTTATTGAGAAAATCAAGAGATATTCGTAGATTTTTATGTACATTATTATTCGTTATTTTAGTAGAGAAGCAACGTCTTCTGATTGGTTGTTTTCTTGCTGAAGGTTATTCTTTACTGCTTGTTTGTGATCGTTTCTTAGATAGTTAAGCCATATATATGCGAATCGTATTTGCATACGTTAAGTTTGCTGTGATTCGTTGGTGAGTTCCTCAAGGTTAGGTTTTGTTCTTGTTTTTTCTCATGACCCTGATTTGGGACGTAAACGTCGACGTAAATTGTTGTTGCTCTCACTACAGTATTAGTGTAACAACAGAAGCCAAGGTATATTTTCAAGTGACCAAACAGCTATTTATAATTCCATACAGTTTATATACTTTAACCAATCATCACTGAGCATGTGATTTCGGTTAACATTAAACGACGTGAAATAGAATGTTCAAATACATATATATATATATATATATATTATTCTGTTGCTAGCGCAGTATTGAACTGTGGGAATAGTATTCGGACGTTAACACTACTAAATACACATGATTCTTACTGTGAGAATAATACTTCGTTGGAACCCATTGTCTATATCACACCACCATAGTAGTAGTGTAACAACAGAAGACAAGGGCCAGGCAACAGATCCTTTATTAAGGAAAATCAACACATATTTATAGATTTCAATGTACATTATTGTAGATTATTGTTAGTAGAAAATACAGTCTTTTGATTGGTTATTTCCCACAGAAAGTTAAGCTTGCATTTCTTTGTGGATGTGTCAGATCATCCATATGCTAACTGTATCCGCCTACGCAAAGCCTTTGTTCTCATTTTCTCACCATGAATATTGGGGACATAAACATTGACGTCAATTACTGTCTACCAACTTTGGTTAGCAGCCAGCTCTCACCACAGTAGCAGCAGACCGTTGGAAATGCCTCTGGTGATATGTGAGTTAAGTCTCACATCCATCTAGAAGCTCTGACTTGACATCAGTACTTTGTAAAAGTAATGTAAACTTTAATTTTCTTTTATTTCATTAGATTAGCTGGGTTTTTTAACGATAAGCTGATTAAGCCAGTGATATACATGAGCGCGCACACACGCACACACACTACATGTTATATTTAGGCTTATGTAACAAGATGTTCTCACAGGCCTCAAGCACATACCTACCTTGACATAACCTGTAGTCTCTTTAACCTTTCACAAAAATTTTAGTCATTATCGTCACTGTTAATATATGTATAAACCATCAGTAGTAATTCCATACAAGGAAGGAATCTCGGAAACCTTACAGCGGGGAATTCTTAACAAGGCAGGAATAAAAATGGCATTCAAAGCCACAAACTCAATTAGAAACAAGCTTTGTCGGTTAAAGGATCATCCTGTAGAGCCTTTAAAACAAAACAATTTAGTTTATCTAATACCCTGCAATGATTGTCAGGTCAAATACATAGGTCAAACTAGTAAAACAGGGGCAGGTAGTCAGACTAACCGAGCATAAAAACCTAGCAGCAAAATCTAGATTAGTTGACCCGAATAAGATAAGAAATTTAGAGACTAGTTCAGCCGTAGATAGCACTACATGCAGTTACACACAACCATACAATAGGATGGATGGGTTAAGATGACAGTTTAAAAATCTAATGTAACAGCCGGGTGGAGGGAGAGATTGGTAACAGAAGCTTTGTTTATCGAATCAACTACAAATACATGTAATAGGAATGATTCATCACATGTCCCCGATATCTGGAAAATTCTACTACCCATACGACAAATAGGGGAGAAC